ATACTTTCTATTATTATTATTTATACTTAAAATAATACATTTTTTCTAAATATATTTAATTTTTTGTATATACATCATTTTATTTATTGAATATAAATAATATAATTAATATATTTATTTTCTTAAAGAAAATTAGGATTTTACCCTTAACCAAATAAAATTAATCTTTTATTTATTTCTTTATTTTTACATTAAATATTTTTACATACTTGAAAAATAAACAAAAACCTTTTTTTGCATAATTCATATTATTTGGTATATTTATTTATTTTGTTTATTTAAATATTATCCATTTATTATTTATGCATTTGATTCAATTTGGATGTAATAGTAAACTAGGATTTTTATTTCTTGTCAAATAATCCTCATTCAAAGATTGTACCCCCATCCCCATAATCATGTTTGTAATAGCTTAGATTTTTAATTCTCGCACTTTATGCTTTCAATTATACCATGATTAGAGATTAGGGTTTGTATGCAAAAATCCAAAATCAACAAGTAGTTTGACCTAATACAAAGACAAAAATGCATGAAAATCAATACACAATGCACATTTGCACCCCTAGGATTACAATCCACTTGTTGCCTCAAAAATAGACCATGTTATGCATGTTGGGTACTTTGGCAAAACAAAAACAAAATAAAAGATCATAGTCCCTCGATGACGCTATCTTGGTTGCCTACACAAAATGATCTAGTCCCTTGGAAAATTTGCCAAAGATACTTAACATAATTGCTATCATGATCTATACGATGACCCGCGTCTGTCCCGTTTAACATCCTAATACAAGGTTGTTTACTAAATGCAATGGTAAAATAACACTGTCAAGTTAAAAATGTGTAGGAAACACCTTTGAGTAAAATAAGGTAGACAACTCTTAGTTACTTGATCAAAACTTGCAAAACATCCTTGCTATTTTTCAAACACACTTCACAACACAATTTCAAAACATTTCCCAAATCAAACTCTCAAACATTGAAACCTCTTTTCAAAATACAAAAACACCTTTGTATACATTCAAACAAGAATCATTACAAAGGTTGCCACAACGATGGCCTCTTTTCAAAATATCTTTCAAAACCCCACACAAAGCACCATTTCAAACAATTGAAAAGCAAAAGCAAGTGATCTAAACAAGTAACTAAGAGCCAATGGGTAACCATGGATGAAAAGGGTGCTTGCACCTTCCCTTTTCATAATATACTCCCCGAACCCAAGAAAACATCTCAAAGGTCTTTCCTGTGCTTTTTGACCTTTCCTTAGGATAAAATAAAAAGTCGGTGGCGAGTCTTACTAAACCGAAACATTTGTGAACACAAACGCAAAACCTCAAGTCAGTTCTCCCACCGTATCACAACTCTCAACTTAGAAATCTGCCAATAAATAGAGGCATCAACAAGGCATAAGCCTTCAACTTTATATTTGCCAATCCATGCCAACTTGACGAGCATCAACTCCAACATGATATGCTATCTATGCATTAACGACATGAACGT